CTTTCTCAATAACTTCATCCCAAAACACTCCGTGTAAAACCTAAAGATGCATTTATGTGATTCACTAATTCCAATAAGCAGCAAAATGGTAGCACACATACATACACACACTAGCTGATAATGGAAATTATGGAAGGCATGTTGTTTGCTCTAAAATGCATACTTGATGGTGCGATCAAGGTCACCGACACGATACACAACATGGAGAAACCTGCGTTTATCCTTCTTTGCCCACTCCAACAACTCATCACTTGGAACAACAGGTGCAGCAGCTTCAGCCATATTTCTGACAATGAAAAAATTCCACCCAATGATGATTAATACGGTAGTTAAATGATACCATGATTAGTGAACGTGACGGGATGTAATGAGTATTCACAAATTTGTTGAAAAATTATATGCATACACAAATTTGTAGGGGCATCTGAGATGACACATTTAAAAAATTAAGAACTGGCCAGGCTTATAACAACATTTACATTTTATTAATAATTTAATTACTCCCTTTGTCCTGTTGGCATTTTCCACTTTTCGTTTTTCACTCGTCCTAACATATACCCTTCGTCCCAAAATAAACTTCACATTTTCCTTTTATGTTCGCCCTAAGATAAACTTCACACTTTCTTTATTTCCTTTCATGGAAAGGTATGTGGCTCACATCATTTCTATTTCTTCTAAACAAATTAACACTATACACTTTTTTGTTTTCAACAATGTTGGGGTAAAAGGTCCAATGCATTCTCGGCCCAAAGAGAGGCGGCCCAAAGAGAGTCTGCCCAAAGGAGAAGCAACAACATCCAAAGGATATAGAAGTCCACGAAAATACTGGAACAAGAGAGGTACTGGTCCAGAAAGGGATTGGTCATGTGCCAGGTCGATACAAGATGGTGCCAGACCCAGGGTGTTGATCCATACTTGGCAAATTACAGGCTTAGCCCAACGCTACTAAGCAAGTAAGCGGTCGACCAATCGTACTACTTGGGCAAAGAGGAAGAGTTGGCCGACAAGCAAGGAGCCAAGGACAAAATGGGTTGAAAATGAGTTTCACATTGTCCAACTTGCAGAGGACACCTGCCCATTCCTTACCCCAACAATCACCAATGTCTGAAACATTCCTCAATGTACAAATCGAATTAGAGGAAGGCATCTCGCCCCCATGTCGTATGAGAGCCTAAAAGTACCCAACTCCACTGCCGAAAGAGGGGATCGGATTTTTGGGAGAGAATAAAGAGAAAGCTACATCGTTGTGCTGCTGGTTTGTAAACATAGGCTAGATTAGTATTTAATCTTTTCTTCCCCTCATAGTCACCTCCGGAACAAAAAAGAATCCTCACTTGTACTCTCCGGAGACTAATCAACAATCCATCCTACCTTCCACAGTTTTGATCTTGTCATTTCTTAAATCCAACTCCGACTAGAGGGGCTGTGATGGGCCCTTTGGGCTGTTTACTAATAGCACTTTATTCTAACAAACACCTTCCTTAAGCTCTGTAAAATCAAACCATGACGTTCATTTTAGGATGAAGAGAGCATTCCACTTTCATATAAGAACAAATTTATGGCTCATATGTTTTTTTCTCCTTCACGCGGCTCCATCAAACAATCTTCCAATTTCTTAATCTCCTTGCCTAATCAAGAAGTAAAAACTCGAGGGGACGGAGGAAGTATGTGAAAAAGCTCAAGTGAATCCAATGGAACAACGAACACGATAAAGCACCAGCTGACTAGCACACCGAAACTTGAAATCCAAACGCCATTTCCTTTATTTAAATAAAACAAACAAACGCCATAGTAACGCAATGTTGTTCAAAATAACGATCGGATCAAAACCTAGTCCTATTACAAAATCTATTACTTGCACAGGCGCCACAGCAACAATCGGAGGAATGTTACGAATCAATGAAATACCAGATGATAATCTTCCCGAACTAACAAGAAATTATAGCACAATTCATTTCTAAACCCATACTTGCAAAAGTAAGCATAGTGAGAGAGAGAGAGAGAGAGTACCAGAGAGGAGGGAGAGATGATCTGCAAGGATCGGCGAGGGGCCTTGCTTGAGAACAGTCTAGAAATAGTGATACTCGCAGTGTGGTTAAGCTAACCACAGAGTCAACTCGCAGTGTGGTTAAAAAATATTAGGATAAAGCTATTTGTACCCCACATTTTTGTACCCCATTTTGTACCCCGCAGCTTTGCACTAACACTTTGTGTTAGTGTAAAACTAATTTTTGTTAATGCACCAACACTTTGTGTCCGTGCAAATTTTTGTTAACGCACCAACACTTGTGTCGGTGTAAACCATCAAAATGTTTGTGTATAACTGTGGTGTACAAATGGGGTATAATTTGTGGTGTAAGTGTAGCATGACCCAAAATATTACTGTATTACATTTATTGTTTAATCAATATACTTTATAAATTCAATTTTAGGTCAAGGGTAAAAAATAGGTTACTCTAAAGAGTAAAATAGAACAAATACTTAGAAACGGAGATACTATGGTTCAAAGTGACTTAGATTACATCCCGTTTTTCTGATCTGATCGGGTTTTATGAAGATTTCGTGTAGCCTGATCTCATATGATCTGATTGTAGTTATATTTAATGTTATTTCTGATCTGATCTAATTTTAAGAAAAATATGTAATAAGCTAGAAAAAATCAATTGAGTTGAACATATCCTTAGAGCTTATTCTCTTGAACTTATTCTTATTTGTAACAACTTCGAGCAATTTGATCTCGATGATGTTAATAGATTTGCAAACTCCACTAGTTTTCAGATAAAAAGAGTGGTCGATGACTTTGCCTCGTTCTCAAGCTCCAACGATAGCCTCCACCAATTATTGGCCCTTAATACGACCAACTATAACGTATCTGAGTTGGGAGTCCATCACCGAGCATTAGCAAAAGAAAGAGCAAAAAGAATGACGGGTCAAAGAAGTATACCTCAGGAGAAAGTCTAGTGTTGGCGAGTTCTATGTTGACGTGTCGGAGGAAGCCATCATCAACCATTGCTAGAAATTTAAAATGTTTTTAGAGGGTGTTGCGACAAAGTACAACGCCGAGAGGCTCCATGGTATAATGTGTGCTCTTAGAAGTCTAAAAGTCTGTTGACTTGTATGACAAGGTCTTGAGAACGTGGCCTAGTGTGTCCAACTGTGACGACATTCTCTCAAAAGCATCAAAACTTTATTATCAAACGGAAAATAAGGTTTTCAAGTTCCAACGATCTGAAAATTTATCAGAAGAATCCCAAATTTAGCGTTGGGACAGACATTGGAGGATCGGGGCCGAAGCGATTCAAACTCTCAGAGACCAATTCGTACTTAACAAGCGAAGACGGCGATCCATCGACCTCAAAGTCGCGGAGGATAACTTTCCCCCCTCCCCTCCAGCTATGAACAGCTATTTATGAATATCTAAATACGTCAAATAGTTTTTTCTTAACAACTAATATCATTAGTAAATCAAAACTTCTAGTTCAATCAGTCGCTCAAATTAGTCAATACAAAAAGTCAACAGCCAAAAGCAAACTATTTTCTAAGAGAAGGCCTTAATCATAACTCATGAGAGTTTTTTTCACTACTCGCTTATTTAATTCACTTTCTCTTTCCTTTGTCATTGAAAAATAAAATAAAAGAAATTAAAATTTAAAAAGTAGTGATAAATAAAGAAATGAAAGAAATATAAAAATATGAAAAAAAATAATATAAAATAAATACATTACAAATTAAAAATATTAAAAATAATAAACTGTAATAATAAAAAATTAATGAATAAATAAAAATCTAAATTTTATAAAACAATAATAATACTAATATAAAACTAACAAATAAAAAATAAAATAATAATTAATAAATTTAAAAAGTGAAATAAAAAACTCGTAGTAATAATAAAATAATAATATTTAAATAAATAAAAAATAGAAAATAAAATAAGTATAAAAAATAATGGTAATAAATAAAAAATAAGGGGAAAAAACTCCGTATAAATTAAAAATTAAGTGAAGGAATTTCTCTCAAGTCTAGGCTCATCTCTTCTCATATTCTCTCGTATCCTTTCATGTCCCTCCCCTCCCCCAACCAAATATACTAAGGTGGCTTAAGTGGGACAAAAAAGAGTTCATAGTGGAATGAAGCACTGGAAAAGTCTCAAATGAACTTAACGTAGACACTTGTAGAATTGAATCTCAATGTCAAAAGTAGATTATTGCAATTAGAGAACATACCAAGTATTCTAGATTTGTGATTTTCATATAATACAAGTTGTAAATTCAATTTTAACCTAATTCTATGGTAAATTCAATTTTAACCTGATTCTATAGTAAAAAAAGATTGTATTCCAAACAAATTTCATTTTTAAAAATTGTAAAAGCTGAAGTACGATTCTAACTTCATATAGAGGAAGCATTTGATTAGTTACTCGATAGTGGTGAATTATGTAGTCGTTTGGACTTGGGTGGTCTTTCTTTTTACATTTGTTTGGATCTCCATGAGATCAATTTTTTCTTACCCTTAGTTTGTTCTTTATTTTTTATCATGTTATATGCTCTCTCTATTGCTTGAAGTGAGATTTCTTATAATTAGTCACTACAAATAGCTAACATTCAAAAGCCAACATTATTTTTCAGAGAAGACATTAATTATGACTCATGAGAATTCTCTTTCAGTACTTAGTAGTTCACTTTCTCTTTCCTTGTCATTGAATAATAAAAATATAAAAAATAAAATAAATGTAATATAAATAAAAAATAAAAAAACATATCAAAAATTAAAGAAAAGAAATTAAAATTTAAAAAGTTGTGATAAATAAAGAAATGAAAAATAAAAAATAAAAAACCATGAAAAACAATAATATAAAATAAATACATTACAAATTAAAAATATAAAAAATACTCCGTAATAAATAGTAATAACAAAAAACTAAATAAAATAAAAATAAAAAATTTATAAAATACTCCGTATTAATATTAATATAAAAATTCTTTTTACTATCAACATTACAATATTAATTTCTTTGATTTCTTTGTCATTTTTCTATCACTGATATGGTAAGTTTGTGTGAGGGCCACCATACCCACCTCACTGGTAACGCACACAGATCATCACACCTCATTCCGCCGGCAGCCGCCTAAAGCTACAGCTGCTCCACGCCGAAAAGCATAGCTTCGTCGCAATCCCCGTCCATATTCCGGCGAAGATGTTTCCGCCGGAGCTCCAGGCGCGGACGATCCGTCCCTACATTTCCTCATCAATTAGCGCTCCCAGTTTCTCCACCACTTCGGGCGACGCTTACAACAGCCCCAACCGAAACCCTAGTCTCAGCCCCGATTCTTCGTTCTACGGCCTCGGCGGCAGGTCTTCTACTAGATCGATGAAGAACTCCAGGTTCTCTCCCTCTTCCTTCGCGCACAACGCCAGAATTGCGGTTGCTCTTGTCCCTTGTGCCGCCTTCCTCATTGACCTCGGCGGCATTCCGGTTGTAGCCACGCTTACTGTCGGACTAATGTTAGCATACATCCTGGATTCTCTCAATGTCAAGTCGGGTTCCTTTTTCGCAGTTTGGTTCTCCCTCATCGCAGCTCAGGTTGCATTCTTCTTCAGCTCCTCACTCTTTGTCACATTCAATTCAGTAGCTCTCGGCCTTCTTGCCACTTTTGTTTGTTCTCTAGTCAATTTTCTAATTGGAATTTGGGCTTCCTTGCAATTCAAGTGGATTCAAATTGAAAACCCCACCATTGTGATGGCTCTTGAGCGGCTTTTGTTTGCCTGTATTCCTGTAATAGCTTCCACGATGTTTACATGGGCGACAGTATCTGCAGTTGGTATGCTCAATGCAGCTTATTATCTCATGGTATTTAATTGCATATTCTATTGGCTCTTCTCAATTCCCCGAGCATCGTCATTTAAGATGAAGCAAGAAGTGATTTACCATGGCGGAGAGATTCCAAGTGACAATCTAATCCTTGGTCAGCTGGAGAGTTGTTTGCACACCTTGAACCTTTTGTTTCTCCCTCTCATGTTTCATATTGGGTCACATTATTCAGTTTTGTTCTCCTCTAGTGATTATGTATGCGACCTCTTTCTTCTTTTCTTCATCCCTCTTTTGTTTCAACTATATGCATCCACAAGTGGGGCACTGTGGTGGGTCACCAAGAACGAGCACCAGGTGCAGAGAATTAGGCTGGTGAATGGTTCTATTGCTTTAATTGTTGTCATAATTTGCCTGGAGGCTAGAGTCGTTTTCCATTCTTTTGGGCGATACATCCAGGTGCCACCCCCATTAAATTACATGCTCGTTACAATAACAATGCTTGGAGGGGCAGCAGCTGCTGCTTCTTATGTTCTTGGGATGATATCTGATGCGTTTACCTCACTAGCATTCACCACTGTGGCTGTTGTAGTTAGCGCTGCTGGAGCTATTGTAATAGGATTTCCTATACTGGTATGTATTTTATGTTCCGTAACTTATCGTAATAAGCTTTTATTGATTAATATGCTCCATATACTCGTAACTATGTTGTGCTTTCTGTTTTTTTGTAACCTATTTTAATGATGAAGATGTTCTGTTAGTTTGATTTCCAAACTTCAGCTTTCAAGTTGTTCTTTGATTGGTAATGCTAAAAACTTGTTTGACGCACAATACATGCGTTTTGGCCTTAGAAATTTTATCTTCCTTCTCATTACTATCAATGAATCAACAGTGCACTGAGTATTGGGTAAATGTTGTTTAGCTACCTTTGAAATTAAGAGTGAACATGTAAAACCCAAACCATAGGCATGTACTCCCTCCGTCTCAATGTGTTTGTCCGCATTGCTTTTTGCATATGGACCCAAGAGGGAGAGCAAATAGTACAAATATACCATTATACCATTTAATTTTTGGATAAGAGTTGGATGGAATAAAATTGAAAATAGAAAGGGGGCAAAAGAGTCAAATAGACATCTAAAATAAAGTTGAGTGTTACTTTAAAGGACAAGTGGACGAATACCATGAGACAACTTAAAAAGGAAAAGTGGATGAATACATTGGGACGGAGGGAGTAGTAAATATGACTAGATAGATCACTTTCTGCCTTTGAAAATATCTATTTTTTAATGTTTTTACTTCACAAGTGTTACAGCCATTCAGTCAACCAAGTTAGAAGGTCCATCTGACCCCTATTATACGTGGTTCATTGCTCGGTTAATGAAAATATGAAATTCAAAATACAGAGGATAATGCTATGAAATCATTGGAAATGAGTCATCTTTCAAATTTGTCAATCCGAATAAAGTTATTTGAGCAATTACAAAAGAATGTGGCTATATGCAGTCCATACACTTGTTGATTCATCTTAAATGTCTGACGCTTCTCAAGTTCCATACTGTTTTGACTTCTGAGCCATATATATTCTCCATTGGTGCACATCTCATTTTTTCCCAGATGATCTGTCTATTTCAGTGGTTGAAAGTCGGCATTTCTTCTTTTTTTTGTTTTGCAGTTTATTCCATTCCCTTCAATTGCTGGTTTCTTTTTGGCTCGGTTTTTTACAAAAAAGAGTGTCTCATCATACTTTGCATTTGTTGCACTTGGGAGTCTGATGCTCACATGGTTTGTGATGCACAATTACTGGGGTCTAAATATATGGCTGGCTGGCATGTCATTAAAGTCCTTTTGCAAGCTTATTGTTGCTTGTGTTATCCTGGCCATGACTGTTCCTGGTCTAGCCATCCTCCCGCCAAAATTTCGACTGTTTACTGATCTTGGTTTGATCAGTCATGCATTGCTTCTATGCTACATAGAAAATCGATTTTTCAGTTACTCCAACACATACTACTACGGGATGGAGAATGATGTGATCTATCCAAGTTATATGGTGGTCATGACTACTTTCGTGGGTTTAGCCGTTGTCAGGAGGCTCTATGTGGACAATCGAATTGGATCGAAGGCTGCCTGGGTTCTAACATGTCTTTATTCCTCAAAGTTGTCCATGCTTTTCATAGCATCGAGGACGGTTTTGTGGTCATCAGCTGTTCTTTCACTTGCTGTCACTCCTCCGCTGCTTCTTTACAAGTACTCTCGTAACTGATTTTTCTTCCACTCTACTTTTATTCATACCGTATACTCTTCATAAGTTCTATTTGTTTTTAAGTGTCTGAAACTACCATAATATTTCAGGGACAAGTCCAGGCCTGCTTCAAAGATGAAACCTTGGCAAGGTTATGCTCATGCTATGGTGGTTGCCTTATCAGTATGGTTCTGTCGGGAAACAATATTTGAAGCTCTGCAGTGGTGGAATGGAAGACTTCCCACGGACGGTTTGCTGTTAGGCTTCTGCATTCTGTTGACTGGGTTAGCTTGTTTGCCCATAGTCGTGCTCCATTTCTCACATGTTATGGTATTAAGTTCTAAAACTTTTTTGTTTTTCCTATTTATTTGTCAACTTCTAAATGTGTGTATATGCATGCACCCGTTCTTGGGTGAAGAACATACACCTACCTATATAGATGAATGTTTTCTGGGGAGATTTGTTGGGCAAAGTCTAAACATTCTTTATAGCAAGATGTAGACTAAGCTCTCCAAAGCTATCCCGTCCAAACCACACCAAAACCTATATCCAAACAGACCCTTATAAGTTATAAGCATTATGCTGCACACATTATGAATTTCAATTCTCTTTATTCCTGTGGGGTCACAAAACGTTCTTGAAACATGACTCCCTTTTTGGGTCTGGGAGAAATTTCTATTCCAAATTTTTTTTCCCCTAAGCAATTTCACATTAACTAGGAATTTATTTTTTCTATGCAGCTCACCAAGAGATGCATGGTGCTGGTGTTAGCTACTGGCCTGTTGTTCATTTTGATGGAGCCACCTATCCCTTTTTCATTGAACTACCACTCCGATCTCATAAAGTCTGCCCGTCAATCCGCTGACGACATTTCTATCTATGGGTTCATTTCATCAAAGCCGACATGGCCGTCATGGTTGCTCATCGCAGCTCTCTTACTGACACTGGCTGCCGTCACCTCAATCATACCCATCAAGTACATTGTTGAACTAAGAACCTTTTACTCTATCGCCATGGGAATTACTCTTGGCACCTACATATCTGCAGTATATTTCCCCCAGCCAGCAATCCTACACCCACTCATCATTCTTACCATGATCTGCACCTCTGTATTTGTGGTCTTCACCCATTTCCCTTCCGCGTCAAGCACAAAACACCTGCCGTGGGTATTTGCTCTAAACATGGCTCTCTTCCCGGTCACATATTTGCTGGAGGGCGAGGTGAGAATCAACAAAAACAGTGTTGGAGAAATGGGGGAGGAAGACGGCAAGCTGGCCACATATTTGGCTGTCGAAGGTGCACGGACGTCTCTTCTTGGCTTATACGCTGCAATCTTGATGCTTATAGCTCTTGAGGTGAAGTTTGAACTGGCTTCACTAATCCGAGACAAAGCACCCGAAAGGAGCGGCGGGTTGAGACACAGCCACTCTGGGGAGACCGCAAGTGTCCCTCCCAGGCTAAGGTTCATGCAGCAACGGAGGGCGTCTACTGTTCCCAGTTTCACCATAAGGAGAATGGCAGCCAAGGGCGCCTGGATGCCCGCGGTGGGCAACGTGGCCACCGTACTCTGCTTCTCCATATGCCTCATCTTGAACGCGAGTCTCACGGGCGGGTCGACCCGGTCCATATTCTTCCTCGCGCCCATACTGCTCCTCATCAACCAGGACTCCGATTTGGTCGCCGGATTCGGAGACAAGCAGCGCTACTTCCCCGTCACGGCCGCCGTCTCGTCCTACCTCGTGCTGACCGCCGTCTACAGCGTCTGGGAGGACGCGTGGCAGGCAAACACGGGGTGGGGGCTGGAAATCGGCGGGCCCATCTGGTTCTTCGCGGTCAAGAACCTAGCCCTACTCGTCCTCACGTTTCCCAGCCACATCCTCTTCAACCGCTTCGTGTGGAGCTACGCGAAGCAGCCCGACATGCTGCCCTTGCTGACCATCCCCCTCAACCTGCCCTCGGTGCTGATAACCGACATAGTCAAGGTCAAGATATTGGGACTCCTTGGGGTTGTATATTCTCTAGCTCAGTATTGGATATCCAGACAGCAATATATTTCGGGAATGAAATATATTTAGAGAAGAGAGGTACGTCGGAGTTTGTACTATATATATATACATGTGTTCATATACGTTTTTTTTTTTGCCAAATTTTGAACTCTTTATTATATTTGGCAAAAGCTTAATTACAATGCCCAAACGTGGGGTGTAACATCCTTAAGGGGGTAATTAATGTTCTAGTCTGCATTTCATATCCTAATATACTTTCTTCACCATTGGCTAATTAATTAAACTTGTCCCCATCACTAATGCTCCCTCCGTCCCAGAATATTCGTCAAATTTGACTTTTTCGAGTCAAACTGGACAAACTTTAATCATCAATTACTCTCAATTTGTATTGCATATTAATACAATGAAATACATTTTTGAAAGTTTTAAACAAGTTAAATATATTAAAATTGTTTTTATACTAGTATATATTATAGTTTTTACTTAATTAAGACTCAAATTTCGTCTAGTTTGACTCGAAAAAGTCAAACTGGACGAATACTTTAAGACATAGGTACTATAAAAATTCCAATTTACTTGGTTAAAACGCTTTGGAAATTGGTGTTTAGTTGCTGGTTGATTTGAATGGTTAGTTGAATTAGTTGTTTTGATTGGTTGAAGTTAGCTAGATGCCCAATAAAGAAAATGTTTATCAAGCTTAGTTGCTCAGAAGTAACTGTTGCAGATGAAATTACTTTTAAGTACATATTTCGATGTCAACGACCCGAGAGCCAAACATGGTCCGGTCAAATCGGGTAGACTCGGAATAAAACTGGAAACACTTCGGACCGAGTGGGTGTGCCGGTCGCCCGATCGCTTTGAGTTTAATAACATTATAATTCTGTGTTTTGATTGATGTGGCGGATCTTGTTAAAAACTCTAGTGAAGGAATCTCACCAGAACTTGACATTCTCTTAATTTTTTTACACTCTGTCTCGTAAATTTTTTTTCTGTGGGGATCGATCTAATGCTATCTTTCGAATCAGCGGGAACGGATAAAAACTAGGAATGATATTCGAAAAAGTTTCAGTAATCTCTACACTATGTTTGGTTCCAATAATTTAAAAGAAAAAAAGAAAAAAAATGATTTGAGAAATAATTTTTCTTATTTGGATAGAGAGGAAAAAAGAAAAAAAAGTGGTAGGAAAAGAATTTGGGAAGGAAAATGGATTAAGAAGGAAAACAAATTTCTTTCCTCAAAAAAAGAAATCTATTCATTCTAGCGAAAAAAAGTCAGGGTTTTTTTTTCTTTCCAAATTTCATTAAGGGTACTTCGCATTAGTAGGAGCTAGCAAATTGGCTTGGTCATGTCGGGTTTGATTTCTTCTCGTTTGGGCTATATTGGATTTAGGTAAGTTCAGATTTAAGTTGAGAACTATATGTTCATAATATAGTATCAATGGATTCAAGTTGATCAAATCAGTCATGGGATCTATTTTTAGAATATGCAAATTCATTGCATTAAAAAATTACTCCCTTCGTCCCAAACTAAATTTTCTATATACTAATTACGCGACCAAACTGTATTTATTCTCGTTATCTACTTTTGTTAGTCATTTGAAAAAATAATTTAGTATTGTCTCTTATTTTGTACTTCATCCGTCTCACCAAATATTTTTTTGTATTGATTTCTAAGGAATTTAAAAGGAATGTATTTTGCTTTTGTCTTTCCAATATTGTATTTAGACGTGATAGATAAAAGTAAATGTGATGGATAAATTAGTAGTGAAAAATGTGATATGATAGTAAGAGTAAAGTAACTTTTTAATAAAAATGAAATACTATTTTTTTAATGAATGAAAAAAGAAAAGAAAAAAATTTTGTGAAACAGAAGAAGTATATTTTTTTATATAGTTTTTGAAGTATATAATTTTTATTTTATAATTCTACACTATTTTTCATATAAAATACTTTAAAAATAATTTTAATCAAACATTTTAAACCAAAACATGCAATTTAAATTGGTATGGAAGAAGTAATAAATTATCAAAATATATATGTCAACTTCTCAGAATATTTTATTTTGATTTCAATTAATTTGTTGGTATATTTAGCAATATTATGAATAATATAAAAAAATTAAATATGTACCACTTTTGAAAAATATAATTATCTGATATCATTCAAAACTTACCTGACAATATAAGTTTTCACACTAAAAATTAGTGATAAGAAAAAGTAAAGACAACCTTGTTCTTATTATACTCCGTATTATTTTTCAGTATAAAGTATATGAATTTAAAAAACTCTTAAGTTAGCGAATTGATCATGTCTAATTTAACCTATTTTTAGCGGTTCAATTTGTATCGATCAACAAAACCTCTGTTTGAAACACGATATTTTCTAACTGGGTCTTAAGTAAAAAAAACAAGTTAGATTAGTTTATGGTAAGTCTACCCATTAGGGGCAGTTCCCATGACATTACTTAGTAATATCATGGATTAACACGAGGGCCATAAGGTACTCCGTTCTAACCCTCCTGCTCCGTCCCAAACGAACCTACCACCCCACCCTCTTCAATTGCATCTCCTAAGTTTCATTGGAGTTAAAATTTTAACTCTAAGATCAATTAAACTTGAGAGATGCAATTGAAAGAGGTGGAGCAGTGGAATCAGGGCAAGGATGGGTTTACCCCCAAAATGGTAAGAATTATCAATTTTACGAACAGAGTATTGTACGACCCCTGGTCATCCCATGACATTACTTAGCTATGTCAAGACATAGCTTAGCAATGTCAAGGGAACTAGGTGTTAGGGATGAGAGCGGTTCCCCTAACATTGCTTAGCAATGTCATGGGATGATCTGAGGTTATAGATAAGGAATGAATCCTCTGAAGCAATTTAGTGAATTGTACATGAAGCAGATCAAAATGATACTCAAAGTTCCAATACACTTGGGAGATAACAATAGTCGGACCAAAGAAACAACAGTAAAAATCAACAAAAAAAGTAGAGTGTGAGTAAGCAAACATTACCCCTATTACGCGGTATTAGATATGTTGTTTCCAACCGATTCAGAGAGCTAAATTACGCGGGCATACACGGGTCCGAAAGACGTACGGGCACATCTAATTCCCCGAGAATTTATCCACCACGAGCTTCTCTCCTCGTGGCATCGTGGAGCAGTTCGATGTCGACTCCTTCGGGCGGTAACTGGACATACCTCACCACTGAGCCTCTGATGAAACAGTTCCTCACTGAAAGCTGTCACATTATCACAAGTTAGAGTATAGGCAGACATGTTTTGTTGGCCTTGTTCACTTTAACTACATTGGTAAGTAGTTTGATGATCGAAATGTAAAGCTGGTTATACAAGGTAAAAAAACAATATTGCGCAATTATGAAGATGCTAGATCTTGACACCACTCCCCGGTGTCATAATATGACACCGGGCTATTTGAGGCTCCTAAGGTGTTTCTATTGATCTCAAAATGGTTCTTACACTCACATTGCTCGATTTGCCAATCAAATCCAAGGGAAGCATAAGGGGGTTTGAAAGGAGTATGACCCACTCCAAGGCTCAATGGAGCATCATAGGACTCCAAAGTCATAATATGACACCCAAACTGGTATCAAAAGAACCATGAGCAATAATAAATGCCAAGTTGCCAAAGGTACCCTTTATGCGCACATGCCCCCCCATCCCACATAACGCTCTCCTTTTTTTTCCTTTTTTTAACTTTACCTTTCACCCTTCTCTAAATAATTCTCCCTTTTTCACTTACCCTTTTTGAAAAAGAAATTGCAGTCCAAAATATTTTTCTATTCTAAACACTTATTCTTCCCTTTTAAACATCTTTTCATCACTTTTATTAATTTGGTGAAGTCAAAGTGAGAGAACTATTTTGCGACAGAGAGAGTGTGAACGAACAAAGTCATACTTTTACTCCTAAATATAATAATAAACTTGTAACCAAGGCAGTATGAACCAGCAATTGAACCAATATAAAACACCAATTACAGTACTCTGAATGTCATCAACTCATCACATGAAGGAATGCCACAGCCACATGAACCGTATGCTTACGTATTTTTCCATTAGTGCTTCAAGTATAAAAAGTCAAGTAAACACTTAAGCATATTGAAAGAAGTTAGCATATCTCAATTTCATCACCCCACCGAGCACCCACCCCTCAACACAGCACACTGCAAAGGTGAGGTTCCGCAATGAACACTAGAAACCAGGACTTATAGACCTAGCTCTTCAAAGGGCATACGAATTGAATTGAACTGGAAATTAACAGCAAAACACTTGCAAAACTCAAGAAAACTAGAAAGTAAACATTTGAAATTGACCACATAAGAAAAACCCCTAATTGCATAAAGCTAACCCTAGCAAAAAGAAGTCATATACCACTAAAGAGAACCTGAAAAATTAAAAGAATAAAGAAAAAATCATCTAGAAAAAGAGAGATTACCATGTGAGGAAACTTGTCCTGGTCAACAACCCTAGTATTCTCAAGTTTGATGTTGAGGTATTGGTCGACAGAGTGAAGTGTGCCCCTTATGGCCAAATCGTTCTTCAGTTCCACAGTCACTTCTCTCCCTACCAAATCTTTGAAGTATGAAAAGAACAACTGCAGCCCAGAAAAATCACAATAAGCACTAATCCTAATAAGAAAGCAACCAACCTGAATAACCAACTCTTGATAGGGTAAGGAAGGACATACCATTTTCTTCTTGAGAAATCCTACTACTGCTCTCTTCAAGATTTTGGAGCAGTTTGGTGGAGGAAAGGAGATATAAAAATGCCGCCCTTTCAGACCTTTTATATATTGTTATAGTGTAGCACTAATTCCCTGATGTGACGTCTACACAGGATGGAATATGTTGTTTACAGAGAAGGAAAAAACCAAGTTCGCAAAAGAAACTGAAAAGATCTACAATTCTACATGGTTACCATTTATATTTTCCCAATTACAAACCCAAAATATATTTATCCCCAATTCCACTAGTTTTTCAAATTTCATGATGAAGGTGTAGGGGTGACAAGTTGAGTCTGAATAGCATCCTAAACATCAAAAGTTGAAACCAACACCGTATAACATAACAAAATTTCAATTATAGGAACATTCTGTTACTGAACAGACAAATTTGGTAGCAAATTTCAATATACTCTATACTAAAATTTTGGGATGGAAATTGCACAACCATACCAATATTTTGTCATCAAAGAAGGTATTTTTCATACTTTCATAATCAGTTACTGAGCTTACACTAAAATTTTATGGAGACAATAACAAATATAATACATCACAAGAACTCATATCCAATCTAAGAATTCGAAATCACAAGTTAGAGTAGAAGTGGGGACAATTAAAAAAAGCACAAAAGCATCACATCCACCTGCCAGTTTGTGCAAGCACAACAGCAAGTATGCAATTTAGTCAGTGTAGTTTCAGAACTGAAATTTTGAATAACAAAGCTGCCCACAAATATGTATCACAATAATATCAAGGTAGTCAGAATATGTACAGCTACAATGTAAAGGTTTTAGACTTTTAGATACACAACAACAAACTAAGTAAATCTCACAAAAGTAGGGTGTGTGTACACATACCTTACTTATCTATACTCGAAGTAGAGAGGCCACTTTTAGATATATATAAAAATAATTTTTACAAAATTGAACAGTTAACAGCACCTCATACTTTGAATTGAAAACTTCTATGGACACATGGCTCAGATAGATTTTGTTTGTTTTCCTGCTCTAAAGTGTGTCATCTTTCTATAACCCCTTATAAACCAACCTATGTACCACATGGCCGGTCCTAAAATGAAAGAAATAAAAAAACCTTTGTTTTATGCCATATATTGTTTTGAGTGGAATAGTTTAGTACTTTTGTTTTCAAATAGTGAGAATTGTGAAAACTACAAATATTAGGTCCTACAAAATTGGAGGCTACGTGTTGTGTGAGCACACAACATTGCACACCCTACCAAAAAGTAAGTACAGAGCAATAACCAACATGGAGAAATACCTAACTAGAAACAAAACATACTTCATATACCAAACCAAAATAAGACCTTCATTAATTTGATACTCTCTCTGTTTTCGGAAACACTTCCTCTCTCATTTTTTTCTTTCGCCAAAAGACTTTCACTCTCTATTAAAAACTCACTTTTACCACTACTAATTCTTACCCTACCTGCCATATCATACGTTTTTACTAATAATCTATCCATCACATCAAGGGAGAAATTGGAAAGTCACCTACAAATCATAGTTATAAATGGCAAATCGCGAAGGGCAAGCGAGAGGACCTTTTTATGGCAAAAGGCGTGGTGAGAGGCGGGCGGGCGGGCGGGCGGACATACATACATACATACATACATACATACATACATACATACATACATACATACATACATACATACATACATACATACATACATACATACATACAGACATACATACATACATACATACATACATACGTACATACA